TTTTGTTTTCTTTTATTGCTTTGGAAGTTGTAACGCGGCCTTGCTGCTTTCCTTTTTGTTTTCTTTATTATATTCAACACAGTTGTCATTGTACTTTTCAAATGCTTCAAAGTACTGACCTCCCTTTCATGGGGGAGACCACCTCACAGTTTCAGGTAGAAGTTGAACTTGCAACCAATACTCGTTGCTTCGAGGAAGGATCTAGGAGCGAAGACGTGGTTCGTGCTTCCTCCGTTTCTGTTTTAAAAACAATTAGAATAATGCTCATGGATATTATTTCCCGAATAATTATTTAGTGGCTTGTATGCCTAAGTTTGTCAAGTGTGGCTTGAACACTTGCATTAATGTTTCTACGTTTTTAAATGAATATTTTACATTATGTTTGTTTATGGATGTACTCTTAGGATGTTTTTAATTAGATTGATTTCAATCTCAATTTAGATCATACCAGATCAAACTTTAATAATATTTGGACACATAAAATGTAAACCAAACGTAAAAACAATTAATAATAGTTTTCAATGTGACGAAATAATGAGTAAAATGTATAAAAAAAACTCCATTTTTTACATTTTCAATGTGACGAAATAATGAATGAAATGTATGATCTTAATATTAAAAATTAAAAGTATGTATTCCATATTTCATACCAAGCTGAATGAGTAATATGAAAAAAATGAAGTGCATATTAAAGTAATATAGAGGACGTGAGACTAATTAAGAAGCTTCTTTGTGAATTCTTTAAAATCGGGTTCACAACAATTATGTTTAGTTGATATGCTTGTGTAGAAGAACATTTTAAAAATTTTCATATAATTGTTTCTTTATTTTACAAATGTTTTTATTTTTCATGAAATAGGAGATTCCTCCTATTTAGCCCAATCAGCCAGAATATAATCAATTTCAGTAAAATAAGCCGATTCCATCAATTTTAGTATTATCAAACGAACTCTATATTCAGACTAAGTTTATTTTACTTTTGCATCACATTATATATGATTCAAAAAAAATTCAAATTTAAAATTAGCTAAATTATTTTACTTGAACCTAGTAAGAAAATACAAAAAACACTTTAATGAGGAGAAAAATGTCAATTCAGTATATCAAGTTGTAGCATGTAGCATAAAGAGTACCTCATGTTACAACTGAAACCAGGAAGTACACAAAATAGGTATTTTGGTGTTAAATGAGTATACTCCTGCACATGACGTTAAAAGATGTTGATGTGGCTAATAGAGCCGTTTGTTTTTTAAACGCTGGACTCCAACTCAGCAATGACCCAACCCTCTAATATATGCAACCCTAATTTCGTCTTCATGTCTGCGTATTTCATCCCCAAAGTTCATCTATCTCTGCTATCTCGCTTTGTGTTGTCTTTGAAGGGTGATTAATTTTTTATGACGAACCCTAGATTGTTGTTTAGTGTTCATCTTATGGGCTGAATTTACATTCCACTTCCTCCGTTAATTTTTTGGTTTGTTTTTTCAGAATTTTGTTTTGAGAGCTACGGACATGGCTCATGGAATTTGTGCATGTGGAATCCCTTTAAAGATGCTGACTTCATGGACAGATGACAATCCAGGGAGATGATTCCTTACCTGCTCAACATTAAAGGTATGACCTTGAAGTTTGCTTTAACCTATTTAGTTTTATTTGGGTGAATCAGGCTGTTTTTGCGTTTTGACTTGTTTGAATGAATATATGTACACATATATATTGCATTTGAGCCATATGTAGACAACTTGATATAATATGGAGATCTCATATAATATGTCATATGTTGTAATTTCTTGTAATAATATTCTTCTTTATGTGTTTGTTAATGATAGGGTAATGGAGGATGTAAAATGTTTGAATGGGTTGATCCAGAAATGTGTCCAAGGTCGAAGATGATTATATCAGGTCTGCTGAGGAAAATCAATAAGCTGCAAGTTGAACTTGAGGAGAAAAATGCAATGCCCAAAAAGAAGAAAAAATGGACTATCTTATGGTGTGTTGTGGGAGGAATGTTGCTACTAGGTTCATGGATTGTGTGTTTTGACATTGGAAGCAAAAATAAGTTAGCTTGGGACTATTGTGAGGCTCCAATGATCTAAATCTGTCTGAGAATGTAGGATAATATAACCTACCGTGTGTGGTTTTATGTTGTAATGGTATTATTAGTACGTGTAGTTGAATCCATGTTGTTGTAATGGTATCCTACTGGTTGTTGTTTCGTATGGTGTATGAAGTATGTCGTAATGACAATCATTTCAAATATTGAAATTTTAAAAATTGGTCACAATGATGTATGTTTGGTATTGATGTATGTTTGTTATTAATGCACCATGATTTTGGGCATTTTTTCATACAGGACAAAATGAAGCTTATTGATACTAAGATTCTGGATTGTGTAAAATGAAAGTTTTTAAGATGTGAGCAATATAGTTACTGGTCACAATATAGTTTTTCCAGTTTTTCATACAGGACAAAATGAAAAATCAAAGATGATTAGAGGTATAAAGCAAGGTATAAAATTTAAGATTCTGACTTGTATGAAGCTCAACAAACTAAACTAGGTTACATATATATATCAGTCAGATGAAGTTATAACAACTAACAACAATATCAGTCCAAAATAATCAACACCAACACACATATATATCAGTCAGATGAAGTAATACTTTATACCAAAATACCCTTGTACAAGGTGACAGTATATCCTTCACAAAAACACCCTTGTACAAGGTGACAGTATATCCATGTCAAAAACCCTTGTGCATCATCATCATAAATTCTTAAACAAAACAACCTTCATAATTACATTTCTAGAACAAAAGAACATTCTAACAGGTCACTGCAATGATAAACTAAACTACTCTTCATGTGGAGCTTCCATGGAGTCATATAGTTCATGAAATCTCTGCCTTGCAGTTGCAGCATCTCCAGTAACTTCAATTTGCTCACTGGGCATTTTTTTGGATTTTCTTGCATTGGTTTGAATCTGCTTTCCTTTCCTAGCCCTTAGTCTCTATTACAAAAAAAATGTACCATGTTAGTATTCATTAGACATTGACAATCTTAATTCACAAGTTATACCTCCAAACCAGCTGCAACAATAGAGTTGTTTCCCCTAGTTTGAAATACACCATCACTGGGTCTCTCCATTTGTTGATTCTCACTGAAATATGACTTCAATCTACTCTCAGTAACATTTCTTGACTCAATAGGAGTACCAGATTCAGTGTTGGTTACCTACAAGTCATATATATACACATCAAACAGTTACTATGAAACAACAAATGAAACAGTTCATTTTATTACTATAATTGGATGTACCTGATCAGAGTTGGTCTTCAAAGGGCACCTATTTTGTGTGTGTCCTTCTTGGGAGCAGTGTCCACATGATCTCTTCCTTTGTGTTGAACTACTACCTTCTAAATCATGTGGAAATGATGTTGTTCCATTTAAAATTACCTCTTTTGATGGACAACCCTTTTTGTTATGGCCTATTGCAAAACATAGCTCACATGTGATACTTGTGCCTCTCTTGGGTAACTTACCAGTCCTAGGATACTCACCTATTTCTTTAATTCTGTTTTTTCTTGACCTTCCTAGTTCTTTAGTTTTCTATTCTGCTTACAACACTGTCAAGTTTGTTTTAGGCCAAAAGAGAAGGACCAGCTATAGGTATCATCATGTGAGCATATGTATGGCGATACATATCTTTCTTATACCATTGGGAAACGTAATCCTCAATTGGATGAGAACTCAAAGCTCATTCCTAATGAGAACTCAACTTTGTCATCTGTTTTAAAACTTGGAAACTTGGTTTTCTTTCTAACAGGCTCTTCTTCTTCAGATTGTGGTCCAGATTTGTAACTGCCTTCATCACTTGAGCTGAAGTAATCAGTTTCATTCCCATCTTCCTGCACAGCTAACTCTTCTTCATGTAAGTTGGTGTCAGTAGATTTGTGCCCTTTACCTTTACCAACACCCTTTTGATTAGTCACCAACTTCCATAGCAGTACCCGACCATGTTGTAATTCCTCATCATCTTCATTTTCAGATTTGAATTCTTCTTCAAACAATAGCCCAACTTCTGCCTCAAGAAGTGGATCTTCAAATCCCAAATCAACAATGAAGGGCACTTGCAACACACTATATTCATAAAATACTTACATGTTTGTTCAAGAACATGTTTGTAACACACTATAATTCACCACTTGCACCAAACTGTAATTTTTAGGGATATGTAATATATTATTAAGCACTCAATATATGACAAAGCACTCAAAACAAAAATTGGATAGCTTATAGGAAAACCTAGAAACGGGGTTCAAAGCTCTCATCCCTTCTAAACGGGGTTCAAATGATATGGTCTGTGCTTATGTTTATGCTAACTTTGGCCATTACTTCCTCATTACATATGGGTAAACAAAATTCGAATATATTAATGCTTGCAGGGATGCATCGATGATGTATAGCAGAGTAATGTCAGTATTATCGTACCTTTCATCAGATATTTCAGTCTCCATCTTCAGATTATCACTTCAACACCTTAGTTACTCTTTCTCTTTAGGCTTAGAACTTCATCGTTTTTTGTCTTTTGAGCCTTCGTACGAATAGGTTAGGGTTTCATGCGGGTTATAACCAAGCACTTAACGGGTGATGTGGACTAAATTTCGACAAATCAGTATTCCGTTTGCCAGATCACTCAATTAACGTCTAAAGACGGTTAGTATACTCATTTAACACCAAAATACCTATTTTGTGTACTTCCCGGTTTCAGTTGCTACACGCTACACACTACAACTTTATGCTACACGCTATAGTCGTGAAATTCAGTTGCTACACGGTACACGCTAAAGACGGTTAGTATACTCAGGTAACTCTTTATGCTACACGCTACAACTTGATGCACTGAGTTGACATTTTTCTCCTTGAGGACAGATCCAATTACTTTTAATGCATTTAAAAAAATAAAACGAGCTACTGGAATTTATCAATTTGGCACGCAGCGTAAATCGACGTTGCTCGTATCACTAGGGTTAGGATATTCTTCCGCAGCAAGAGCGTCCGGTCCGGTGATAGAACAAGAACGATGAGTAGGAGCCTAGGAATCCCGGTGAAGCTTCTCCATGAGTCGACGGGTCACATAGTGACAGTGGAGATGAAGAGCGGTGAGCTCTACAGAGGAAGCATGGTGGAGTGCGAGGACAACTGGAATTGCCAGCTGGAGAACATCACGTACACAGCCAAAGTAAGCCTCCTTCTTTATTTTTCAAATATAGATTGGGGTTTTGGATTATTACAGCCTTTTGCATAATATGTGATTCTTGTTCGATGTAGTATTTCTTAAACCCTTAACATTACAGTGTTTCTGAAATTATCTAGACTCAGATTCCGCTATAACCTAGTATACTTAAGTTCTAAATTATAGTCAATTATTGTTGATTTTTAAATAAAAGAGTAGAAAAGTCAGATAAAAATGGGTGCTTTGGTGGATGAATTCTCACTTTAAATTGCCGAATATTTGTAAGAAGTGAATACTGATTATGCCATACTAGTGGAATTATTCTGCCAAAAACAAAGGTTCAACCTTGTCTGTGATTAGGAATTAATAAATTAATTGCTAAGATGTGGAACAAAGAACCAGCGGTCAAGGACAAGAACTTTTCTTAAAAGTGTTGGGATAGAATTACAGCTTCATTTTTTTGAAAATCCTGCGGTGTCTGTCGCAAAGATCTAATGGCATGAGTGAATATCTATGTAGTTTCTACTGTTAGTCTGTTCCTTATTGTATTTGTGGACATCCTGATTTCTTTGGCTGGGCTTCACAACCATTTACTCTGGATTGATGGAATATATATTATTATATTCATCCACAAGAATGTTTCTTGTATGATAGTCTTTTATGTGGAAACTGAAGTCATCTATAAGTATTAAGGCTATTTAACCAAGCGAACTTTCATGACTTGCAATGATTTTTATATGGATTTAATGTCTGAATTTAATTAATCCCAGGTTTCACTTGTTCATAACTGCAGGATGGAAGGGTTTCACAACTTGAGCATGTTTTTATTCGCGGCAGCAAAGTCAGGTGATTATCATTTTTTCTGAGTGATTGATTGGGTTTAAAATAGTTATGGACTTCTTCATATTGGATTTTTTATCAGGTTCATGATAATTCCTGACATGCTAAAAAATGCTCCTATGTTCAAGCGGCTAGATGCTAAAATCAAGGTAATTCCATTGTTAACATTGTTTAATTATCCTTATTACCGATTTGAAGTTTTATAACATTACAATTTTACTCTGTTGCAGGGAAAAGGCACATCGCTTGGAGTTGGACGGGGACGTGCTATTGCTATGAGAGCCAAAGTGAGTGCTGCATTCTTTTAAGCGTAGTTGGTTTGTGAAAAAGATTAAGGAATAAAATAATATTCCTCAAAATTTGCATACTTTAATGTTTTAGACGTCTACTGTTAGGAATGAATAAATGACTATTTCTAATGGGCCATGCAAGGTTTTAAAAGGCGAAATCAATCCCCGATGCGGTTGGCCGTTGCGTCTAAACCAATGAAACATAAAACATAAAAATATTCAAAAGAACATAGAAGGCCTGGTATTTATTTTTGCAAATTGCAACCATTTCAAAACTAAGCTTGTCATCCATTTCAATGTTTCATCACTATCAAAGTTTGTAACATCATTCTCGTTCTCATCCGTTTTTATATCACTAGCCTCATTGTTTTCTTCTGATCCACCAGCAAGTTGCATTCTTGCACTCTTACGTACACTAAGTCATAAGTCATAAAGAAAAGAATGAAACAGATGGAGAAGATGAATTCTAATACAGATTATATTCAGTAACAAAAAATCAAAACTATAATACTCCCTCCGTCCCAAATTTAGTTGCAAATTTGACTTTTTGGGGGTCAAACTTTTTCATTTCATTCACTTAAATAGGATACCGATTCTTAATTATATTTTAATTTGGATTTTGCATCTTTATGGAGATTTCAATGTTGTTTCTGAATATGTAAGTTTTAATTATTAACATTAAATTATTTATCAATAGGGAGGATTTAACTTTAACATTGGTTGGCCAAAAAATGTTGACTTTGCAAAACAATTTGGGACAGAGGTAGTACTATACATACTTTTTGTCTGTTCAAATGGATTTCTGAACACAAACTTAAAGACTTAAAGTACATATCAAATATCTAAGTATCTAACTATCTACTAAGTTCTTATAGAAGAAAGTGCAAAACAAAGGAATAGCATCGTACATAGATGAGACCACAAAGTCACCAAATAAAAAAACTGAGCATGATAAAGAGATGCAGGGATGAGAGTTAAAGCTCCATACTTAGGGGTTACTGACTTACTGCTGCCTGTTGGATCACTATTGGTGATGACTGAAGATAGATCGGTGATGACTGATGACTATCAGAAGACTGCTCGGTCTCAGGAAGAGGATGGAACAAATAAGTTGATAACAGGGCACGTGAATTAAGGTTTGGGTGTGTTTTGGTATTTAGGAGGGAAAGTAAAAATACAAAAAGAGGTCCAAGTGCAGTAACTTTAAAAATATCACCCCAACATCTATGAATTTATTGTGAAATATATAGCAACAGATGATGCTTATGCCTCTCTTTGCCCCTGTGAGTCTGCCTCACCGCCTTTTGCTTCACTCTTATTGCCTCGTATATCTCAAGACACAAGCCTCGATTATACAGATAGAGGGCATAATCCGCTTAGGTGCTTCGTAGTCGCCTTTGCGCCTCAGGGGCGTGCACTTCATTTGCCTTTGAAAACTTTGGGGCCATGGCATTTCTTGTTTGTGTTTTGTGAAAAATGTATTTTTTTAAATGCAATCATTACCATTTTTCATGAAATTAGGTCTATAATCTATTTCATATCCCCCATTTCATTCATTATGGAATAATATTCTCATCATTTCAGAATCTTATGCGAACCAAACATTAGTGTTTTCTTGAATGTGAATAATGTTGCCATTCTTTCAAAAATCATAATGCGAGTCAAACTTAATTTTTCATGATTATTAATATATGGCAGTGATACTTTTTTTGGAACTTTGAGAAATTAGCATAGAATGTTAGAGGAGTTTTGAACTGAATTACAGTTGAGAAGATTGGTGTTGATTTTATATACAACATTTGCAATTTTATATATCTAGCACCTTGACCCACACAACATATTGCACTTGTAAGCATTTAATAATACTCCCTATGTCCTAAAATGGAGTTTGTCACTTTTGGTCCATCGACTATTATGTTAGTGACTCTTTTGGTACTCAATTTCTAATTTTTCCATTTCTAGTCCCGGACTATTGTGCTAGAGACACTTTTAGTCCCCGACTTCAAGGTTTCCCACATTTAGTCCCTTGAGTATGATCAAATTGACACTTTTAGTCCTCTCATTATGATTTTGACACAATCAGTGGAGGACTAAAAATGCCACTATCATAATAGTTGAAAGACCAAAAGTGTCACTTTTATGAAAGTTGAAGGACTAAATGTAGAAATTATCAAAGACGGGTACCAAACGTGTCTATAGCGCAATAGTCGAGGACTAAAAATGGAAAAAATCAAATTCGAAAACCAAAAGTGTCAATGACATAATAATCGGAGGATCAAAAGTGGCAAAAACTCTCCTAAAATGATTTGAAAGTCAACTTTTCTTGGTCAACCTAGTTTCTTTTCATTTACTTATTATCATATCAGTATTTTTATACTACGTATATTTTAATTTGGAATTTGCAAATTTATACTCCCTCCGTTCCGAAAAGGTTGGCCAAAGTTGACTTTCACGTGAATTAATAAAGTAAAAACTGCGTGGTTGAAATTTGTGCAGAAGAGAGAGAATTAATTTTAGCCACATTCTTTATTTTAAATGGAAATGTCAAATCTTTTTGGGACATCCAAAAAAGGAAATTTGTCCAACCTTTTCGAGACAGAGGGAGTATTACTTTTAATGTAGTTTCTGAATATCTTAATTTGTTTATCAAAACTGATTTAATTATCTGCAGGAATGATTTAACTTTATCATCATTCAAACTTAAAATGGCTCACTAAACTGTCTGCGCTTCTTTGTTATGAAGCAGCAGTCAGTCCATGCAATTTTGGACTCAATTTTCACTATGGGTCATTCGGAAACAGTCTCTCCCTGCTTTAGTACAGGGGTAAGGCTGCGTACATCCGACCCCCCTTACCCCACCATAGGTGGGAGCCTTTGCGGCACTGGGGTTAATGAAAATGATGATGATGAATGATCATTCAAACTTTAAAACCTCAAATTGCAAATCAATTCGGGACGGAGGAATTTTAGTAAATGTAGTACTACGTATAATGCTAACACGCCTATATAAAGCAAGTATAATTTATATTAATGGATAAGAGGGCCTTAAGAACTTCATGTTAGCTTGAAACAAGTATTGTATCAAAAAGTATGATTGTTATGCTCTGTCAACTGATGCTACTTGTGTGATCGGGTCCGTACACACATACTTAGGATCCAAACTGGAAGTTTCAATCTTGCACATTTGCATGAGAGTGAGTGATTCCAGGGCTCCCAAACCCACAAAATTAGCGTGTAGAAAACCATTTTCTCTTGCTAAAACAATCTTTGCTTGCTGTATCCTCTTTCATCCAACTATTCTTCGGGCACTGAAAATGACTTGCAATTCAATTTTCTTGTTTTTAGGCACAGGCAGCAGGTCGTGGAGCTCCACTTGGCAGGGGAGGTATTGTGCCACCTGGAAGGCGGTGATCAGATCTGTGTCGGAGAATAACATTTCTAGTCATTTCCCCGAAGAGATTTTTGCTCTGCTTTTGGTAATCACATATTTTTACTGTACCCCCTGAGGAGTTATTGAGCTTTTCTTCATTTTAAGACAATTAAAAATTGGACATACGATGCTACTGCTAACTAACCTTCTAGATCTTGTAACGATAGACGGGTAAACGATGTGATTTTATTTTGGATTTCTTTAGATATGTACATTTCAAATTCTGTTTGTCTTAATGTTATGATTTTATTAAAGATATGATTTAATCTTACGCTACTCTATGAGACCTTATGAGACTTGGCCGGCTACCTTTCATCGTAGGAGTGTTGTCACTAGATTGGCTTAGGAACTTGGTTCGTTTTTGTATTGTTTTTGGACTTGTTCTGCGAGCATAAAATGTTGGACTTACAGTACCAACTATTGTTCAGGTTTTAGATGGGTATCTAATGTTCTTGTTTTCTCTGTGTCATTTTTTGCGGTTTTCTTAAATATGTAAATATCAATATCACTAGTCTTGAACCATACTCGGCCCCATCGTGTTATTCTGCAGGGTTATATTCTGTGCCCAAGTGATGTTATTCAAGTTCTTGTCCCGAGTTACAAGCAGATCTCATGGGAAGAAACTTGCCATGAGAAAAGTTTGAGCACTCTAATTTATACAGAATTTCCTTATTTTTTTTAATTCTAATCAAGTGTTCGACTACTGACAAGCCAGTATGAATTAAAAAACTTTATAGCTGGTCATCTAAGTGCTACATCGCGGTGTCCGAATAATGTTTTTTTGGTGGTAAGCTTCCTGATTCAGATAGTAGGCTGACTACGAGGGCCACGCAGTGAATAAGCAATGGTAGAGTATGTTAGACGTAGGGGATTGGGTGGGGTAGATGGGTAGGGGTATGAGGTATGCTGGTAAGGGATAGGGTGAGGTAGGGGTGGGGTAGATGGGTAGGGGTATGAGGTATGCTGGTAAGGGATAGGGTGAGGTAGGGGTGGGGGTAGGAGTGTAGGGGTATGTACTAGGGTTGGGGTGGGGTAGGGTGCTTAACATGTTGTGCATTGAGGTGTTTACTTGCCAATAAAAAAAGTTTAACATAGTCAAATTGTTTATTTTACACGCGTTAATTGTTTATTTTACACGCGTTAATTGAGGTGAAGTTGACTGAGGTAAATGCGTATTAAGTGGTAAACTCGTCCTAAGTGTTTTTTGAAAGTACAACTTGAAAAATTATATGATTAGAGTAGACTGAATTCTGCAAGTATTACTCCTTCCCTCCAAAAAACGAGTCTTATTCCTTTTCGGCTCTGATCAAGGAAGAGGGTAAAAAAAAATCCTCATTGGCCCTTAAATCCTTGATGAGCATTACCGGTCACCCTTCTGATCCCAGGCTTCGCAGCACCCCTACCTCTTGTTGTTGCGAGCTATATTAGGGTAATGTTGCTTCGTTTTCTTTTTGCCTCCTCAACATTCACCGATTCACATAGGGATGGACTAAACCGGGCCGGCCCGCTACTGTGCGGGCCCAGACCGGACCGGGACCGGTTGGCCGGTTCCGGATTTTAGCCCGTTTGGGCGGGTCGGGTGGGCCAGGCTCGGGCCCAGGTTTGGGCGAACCGGCCCGGGCGGTTCGGACCGGACCTGGGTCGATTTTTTTTTTCAATATTTTTTCTTTTCCTAGGGTAGGGCTGGGTGTTTTGGGGAGGTTTGGGGGGTGGGGGTGGAGGTGGGGGTCGTGGGAAAACAAGAAAGCAAAAAAAAAAAAAAAGACATTGAACCGAGCTTGGCTAGGTTAGGCCCGGACTCGGTATCAAGCCGGGCCGGTTCTGGGCCGAAGGATTTGCAAAAAAAGCCTGCCTGGGCCCGGAACCGGAGCCGGCCCGGCCCGGGTCCATCCCTAGATTCACACATACATAACTACTTCAGTCCAAAATACGAAGGGGGAAATAATACTAAGATATTCAACTTACAGAATGTTTATAATTATGTACATAGAGCTTTTGTAACTAATTTAATTATAATCTTCAATTATAAAAGATTATGCCTTGAATAATTTTTTTTTTTGGATCTGCCACTGCTCTCATGGAGAGATTCCTAGCAAATTCAATGGTGATGATGTCAAAGGTTGGCAACAAAAGCTATTATTTTATCCAACAATGTTGAATTTGGCTGTGCATCTCTCGGTCCCTCGGAGAGCCAATCTCTTTTAGAGAAAGGCAAGACCGGAAGATTGGGAAGAAGAAAGTAGTCATAATAATTGAGAAATTGTTACTCAAATGAAAACAATTTAAGAATTACTAAAAGCATAAGCGCAAGAAAATGTATTTGGAGGTAGGGGCGGATCTATCTTAGGGCCTGGGAGGGCCCATGCCCCACCTCAAAAAAAAAATATAGTGTGTATATATATATATATATATATGTATGTATATACACTAATATATAGATAGTATAGTGGTTTGCAACAATGATATAATAATTAAAACTTCGACATGTTTACAAAACCCGAGATGGCCGGATGGAATTAGATCCGTTGTGTTTGGACACTCCATTTGAGCAACCAAAGTTTGAATCCCATTGAGAGCGGGATTTCCTAAATTTTGCTATGGAGAGCATTGTGTTTTAAAATTTCAGTTTTTTCCCCTTTAAATCTCTTTATTCCACACTGGAAGAAGAGAGGGATTCTTCTTTCATACATATCTATTTAAACTGGATCTCCTTGGATCAATTACTACAAACTTAAACTCGTTGAATGGGCTTCATACTAATAATTAATGGGCATGCTTTGGGCTTTTGAATATTAGCCTAAAAAATTAATTAGTTGAATTAATCAATTTGAAAATTAGTCCAATGTCTATGGTTTAAAAACATAGACATTGGCAAAATTGAGGGAGACAAGTTAGTATTTTCTTGTAGTGTCAATGATCATAGTGCTAAGGATTGTCATGCCGAAAAAATTCCACTTATGGTCCCATGACTATTATACAACTTCCACATTTAGTCCCTTACTTTCAGATTGTCCACATTTAGTCCGTGACCATTATCACCTCACCACCCCTCGTCATTCCGGCCAAAATTCCGGTAACTTTAGTCCACTTCTCAGCCTTAGAATCAGTCTTTGCATTAAATTTACTAAATGCAAAGACTGATTCTAAGGCTGAGAAGTGGACTAAAGTTACCGGAATTTTGGCCGGAAGGACGAGGGGTGGTGAGGGGATAGTGATCACGGACTAAATGTGGACAATCTGAAAGTAAGGGACTAAATGTGGAAGTGATACAATAGTTATGAGACCAAAAGTGGAATTTTTTCGGCATGACAATCCTTAGCATAAATAGAGAAACTGAACCACTATATTTCGTACATATGGATCTTTGATTTTAATTATGAAGCTACAAGAGGTGGGAAAATGTATTTTGATGATTACCTTCATTGACGTTGCACAAGACATTGTTAGTTGGTAAGTAGAAAAGATGAAGTCTTCAATGCTTTTAATTAAGCATGATAGAGTTGAAGTTGAAAATCATGAACTTGGAAATAAGATTAATGATAGAGGTGATGGGCATGAATATCCTTCTGAACAATTTGTTTTGGAAAGTGAAATCATTCACACCGAGATACTACTCCTTATATGCCTCAATTTGATGATGTTTGTTCAAGTATTTCTCCTTGACTTCTGTCTTATTTGTTTCATGGAATATGATAACATAAACATAACAACTGGGACATTAACATACCTCTCTTGCTTGAGTTTATTTTTTTTGTAGGAGTGCTGAGATAGAGAGTCGGTCATGTACTTTCCACGGCCTAAGGGCAAATTTTGTGGGCGCTCATTTCCATTTTTTAAAAATAATACGGAATAGTTTTTAAAAAGTATTCACTAAATTAAATTATGTAAAAAGACGTAATAATTACAAAATTACTTTACAATGAGGTAATCCCATATTTCAAATAAAAGTAGCACACAAAATAATTATCAACTAGGAGTAAAATAAGAAGTATACATACTACTTACTCCGTTCTTTTGTAATTATATTGCAACGGTCCACTTTTCAAGTTTGCAAACGCACAAGTTTGACCATTAATATATTTCGTTCCTTATTAGTAAAAATTTAAAAAATTAGATTTAGAAAATTTAGAATGATATGAGTTTAATGATTTTTTTATTAAATTTAATTTATAATACATTAATAAATAAAATAGATACAAATTAGCAAAATTGCAAAAACTCCAACGTTGCATTTAAAAGAGAACGAATGTAGTAGAACATCGTGAATTGAATGAATAATCAACATAACTTCAGAATTAATATTTTGTAGCATTTCACATTGAATGCTTAATGCATAATATTACTAATTCATTAAGTTTCTCTTGAGACATGGTTGGCTCGTTGTCTGTAAATAACTACTACCTCCGTCCGCTATGATTGCCTCATTTTACCTTATCGGTCAGTCCCACTAGGATTGTCTTATACCAAATTTGGTAAAATTTATGTGTCTCTAAATCATTCGTACTTTATCAATTCAATATCAAACACATAAACCATTTTTTATTAATTCGCGTGACACTCCCTCTTGTCCCATTGTTAGCGGGACGGAGGAAGTATTAAAGATTTTCAACTTTTGAAAAGTTTCTTTCCGCCATTCTAGGTGTGCAATATCGATTCTAAAAAGGTTTTCATTTTCCTGGACACGAGCCACCCCCGAATGCTGGAGAGGCATCACAATAAAAGTTTTCTTACGTATCACTTTAATTACTACGTAGTACGATAGTATTATTTAATTATGCATTACTCTGGAAGTAACAATAATATATACTCCCTCAATTCCAAATTAATTTGCAAAAATAATTTACGAATTTTTCCTAAGCATAAAGTTAACCCTTTCGTGACAATTTTTAAGTTAGTGGTAGCAACAAAAAATTGTATATCTTGGAGGTAGATTAAAAGTTCGATATTGAATTGCAAACTTCTTACCTAAAACGATTATAACATGATTCTCAAAACTAAATAATAAAATGGTATTGTGTCAATCAAGAAAAGTAAAATTATAATATTATAATAATACTTCAAGTTCAAATTCAATAAAATTAATACATTAACTCACATCAAATCTTACAAATTCTTAGATAAAGAAATTAAAGAAGCCTCTACACAATTTGCCCAACGTAGTCTAAAGAAAATCACAACTCAATATAATCAAATCAAATCTCTTACCATAAGTTCACGACTCCAAATGAACTCCAGTCACTATGAAACATAAAATTAAAGGCAATATAAATTAAAGTTAGTTTTGTTAGT